AGAGAGGAAGGGAGAGGGAGAGAGAGAGAAACATCAATGATGAGAATCATGGATCGGCTGCCTCCTGCACGCCCCCCACTGGGGATCGAGCCCGCAACCCGGGCACATGCCCTGACCGGGAATCGTACTGTGACCTCCCGGTTCCTAGGTCGACACTGAGCCACGCTGGCTGGGCTGCTCCTTTTTAAACCTGGACGGGTACATGAGCCAGCTCCCGCTTCCTGCGTTAAGAGCGACAAGGCCCCCCCCCCACCCCCGCCAGCATGACTCAGTGGTTAGAGTGTGCCCAGCGGGCTGAGGAGTCGGGGGTTCAGTCCTGGTCAAGGGCACATGCCTGGGTTGCCCATTTAATCCCCATCCCTGGTCTGGTCTGGGCGTGTGCGGGAGGCAATCAATCAGTGTGTCTTTGTCACATGGATCGATCTCTCTCTCTTTCTCTCTCTCCGTCCCCCTGCCCTGCCCCTCCCTTCCACTCTTTCTAAAAATCAGTGGAAAAAATGCCCTCCCTCCTTGGCTGACGACTAACAACCACAATAGAAGTAGAACTCGGGTCTGTCCGGTGGCCTGCTGTTTGCGGGCAGGGACCTGGGGAAACGCCTCGTTCCGTAGGCAGCGGCGAGGCCGGCCCCGCACGTGCTGTGAGCAGCTGCTGGTTTGAAGGGGCCCCGACGGGACTGGGCTGGGCACGGGGCTCCTTGCGGAAGTGGCCTTGAGTGGGGACTGGAGCAGGCGGACTCGGAGCAGCGAGGAGCGGCAGCTGTGGCTGGGAACGGGTCTGGGTGCGGTTCCTGCCTGAGAGAGGGACACGGGGCCTGGGGGAGTCGCGAGAAGGGTCTCCGTGGCCACGTCTGGGGACGGTCTCAGGCCCTTTTCCTCCCTGGCTCCTCTCTGCTGAGTTCTTGGCCTGGAGCCCGCTCCCTGATGGTCTTCTCTTCTCGCTCGTTCCTGCTCCTGGAAGGTGGTTTCCGTGACCTTACACGGCGGGAAGCGCTGCTCTCAGGTAAAACCTGCGAGCAGACGGCAGTGGGGAGTGCGTGCTCTGAACTCCCCCCCCCCCTCAGCAGCGGCAGGAGGGTCTGTGGGGCAGGCGGGCGCGGGTGGAACAGCCAGGAACGGGAGGGTGGGGGGGAGCATCTTCTCATTCACGCACCTGCCTTGCGTCTCCTTTGGTGAAGCTTCTGTTCAGAGCTCAGCCGTGTTTAGGCCGAGCTGTCTTCCTGCTGTGGCTGCTGCGGGCACATTCGGGGTCTGAGTACTTTCATTAGGTGCGGGATTTAGACCTTTTCCCTCCGAGTCTGGGCTTGTCTTATGGGGTCTTTCCAGGAGCCTGACGCCCTGGATGGGACCGAGCCCACCGACCGGAGCTGTGTTCCTCACGGACCTGCCCTGCGTCAGACCCGAGGAACCCGTGCCTGACCCCCAGTCGCGTCCGGAAGTCTGCGTTTTTAGGGTTGCGCTGGCGTGAGACTCACGGACCTCGTTCTTATATCTGATCTACGCTCTTTTCTCTCCTTTCTCTTGCATCTGTCATTGTTCCAGCGCCTCCCCTCAGTGACCTTTGCACCTTTGTCCAGCATCGGCCGCCCGTAGATGCGGGGTCTATTTCTGGACCCCCTGTTCCGTTCCATGGATGCGTGTGTCTCATTCGACACCAATACCCCAGGTTCCCGAGGTCGGGGAGCAGAAGTCCTCCAGCTTGATTCTTCTTTCCTGAAGACGTTTGAGGATCCTGGGCCCTTTCCATTCCCATATTAACTCTAGAATCAGCGTGTCCGTTTACCCCAAAGCAGCCTGCGGAGGCTTTGATTGGGGTTAGAACCTACAGTTTAATGTTGGATGGACTTGAAACATCCCCACCTTGTTCCCGATCTTAGAGGGAAAGCATCCATTCATTCTGTCTCTTGCCACTAGGTATGATGTTAGCGATAGTTTCTTACAACTGTTCTTCATCAAGCTGAGGAAGTTCCCTTCTGATGCTAGTTCTCTGTGAGTTTTTATCAAGAATTGATGTTGGATTTTTTCCAATACTTTTCCTGCATCAAGTAAGAGGATCAAATTGTTTTTCCTTCTTAGTTTGTTCATTTAGTGAATTACACTGTTTGATTTTCACAGGTTAAGACAACCTTGCGTTTCCGGGGTAAATCCTACTTGGTCTTCGTGTAGTACCCTCTTCATATATTGTTGGTTTCACTTGCTAACATCTTAGGAATCTTTGCATCCATGTACATGAAGTGTATTGATTCTATTTTCTTTCCTTGTAGTCTTTGTCTGGTGTTGGTATTAGATTAATGCTGACCTCAGGGGTGAGTTAGGGAGTATTCCCTCCTCTTCTGTTTTTTTGGACGTATTTCTGTAGAATTGATTTTATTTTTTAAACTAGAGGCCCCCTCAGCCCAGCCTGCACCCTCTCCAATCCGGGACCACTGACTCCTAACTGCTCACCCGCCTGCCTGCCTGATCACCCCTAACTGCCTCTGCCTCTGCCTGCCAGTCTGATCACCCCCAACTGCCCCTCTGCTGGCCTGGTCGCCCCACACAGCCTGCTGTTCGGTCATCTGTCCAGTTGTTTCGGTTGTGATGGCCCCTGGCTTTTTATATACAGTGGGGCCTTGATTTACAAGTTTAATTCGTTCTGTGACAGAGCTTGTAACTCAAATTACTCGTATGTCAAATCAAAAAGTGAACGAGTGAGACACGTGATGCTGGGCTGATGTGGCGTTCACTGTGACGTTCGCTGTGCCAACTAGCGGTGGGGTATCTGAAGCTGGCTCGTAACCCGAATTTTAGCTGGCAACTCAAAGCAAAAAATCGGCCGAGAGACGGCTCGTATCTCGAAAAACTCGTTAGTCGGGACACTCGTAAGTCAAGGCCCCACTGTATTAGGATGCTTGATAGATTTCACAGATGAAACTATGTTCTTTCTCCTCCTCCTCCTCCTTCTTCTTCTCCCCTGGTCTTATTTTAATCTATGTTTCATTTTGGATAGTTTATTTTGCAATGTCTTTGAGTTTACTGATCTTCCTTCTGTCATATCTAATCTTCTCCCAATCCCATTCAATATATTTTTCATATCAGATATTATGATATCATGGTTTATTTTTTTTTACCCCTCTCTCTACCTAACATGTTCAGTCTTTCATCTGGCTTCTTGGACATTTAAAAAATCTCTTGTCTACAAAATCTATCACCTGTATGAGTCATTTCTGGGTCAGTTTCAGCGCATTGATTTTTCTCCTTATTATGGGTCATATTTTCTGCTTCTTTGTGTGTTTTGTCATTTTTTTTTTGGATGTCATACATTGTGTGGGTGACGGACATTTTTGTCTTCCTGTAGATATTCTTGAGCTTTGTTCTAGGATGCAGTTCAGTTGCTTGAAAAATGTTTTATCCTTTCAGGCCTTGTTTTGACGCCAGAGGTAATTTTGCCCGATACTGAGGCAAAGCCCTTTGCCAAGGGGCCCATGAATTCTGAGGCTTCTCACTGTGAGTGGTGGGACCAGCGAGCGCCGTGTCCAGCTCCTGGGAGCCCCGGGGTGTCCCCTCGGGTCATCTCAGGTTGCTCCTGGGTCTCTCTTCTTTTCGTCTCTCTCGGCCGACAGAGCAAAGACATAGTAATCGCATCCGTGCACATCTGCTCTCTGCCTCTCGCCATCTCCGCGGGGGCATCCTAGCCTCCTCCTCTTGTCATCCTACTCGCCCAGCTCCGGCAGCGGGAACCCGGCTCCGCCCTCCACACTCGTTCCATCAGTTGTTCGTTCCCAGGTACCTGTGCGCGGGCGGCGGTTTCAGACGTGTCAGCCCCGCCCGTGGCTGCTTCAGCGGCTCGCGTGCAGTGCTCCTGGCGCTGCAGGCTTGAGTCTCCGACCCACTCATTCCCCAGGTTCCGAGGGCAGCGCCTCTCCCCCTCAGCGAGCTGGTTCCGTGCCTGTGGAACCCCTCGGGGTTCTTCGGCGGGCGGGGCACGCTGCCTTCCATCGGGCTCCCCAGACCTCCCGCATTAGTTTTGCTTTATTTACAACATTGAGGTCCGCTCGGTACTGTGAAGTTGTGTGGATTTTGACAAGGGCGTAGCCTCGCGCATCCACTATCGCGTTTTCATATGAGTAGCTTCCCGACCGCCCAAGAGCCCCTGTGCCCCTGGTCTTCAGCCCGGCCCGCCCGGCCCCACCGAGCAACGATCGTCCTCCTGGCCTGCAGCCCTGCCTGTGCCAGAACTTACAGCTGGAGCGCGCAGGCCGGCTCCCTCTCCACCCACTCGCCTGCCGAGGGCACTGGGCTCCTGACTCAGGCCGTCCTCGAGCACTCGAGCTCGGTTTCTGCGTGGACGTCCGTTGTCAGGTGGCTCGGGTGAATCTGGGAACGTAATTCCTCTCGCGCGTGGGATTCTGCGACCTGTCCTCGCAGGGGCTGCGCGTGGGGCTCCCCGCCCTGCCTCCGTGCCTGCACACGGTGGTGGCAGGGTTTGGAGTTAGCCACCCCATAGGTGTGTAGTGACGTCTCACTGTCGTGTGCATTCCGTTTCCCAGCGACCGGCGACGGTGCATCGCGTCGTTTCATACGCCCCCTGCAGCCGGTACGCCTTCTCCAGTGGGCGTCCGTTCAGACCGTGGCCCGTTTTTCAGTGGGTAGTTCTATTATTGTGACGTTTAAGTCTCTTTGCATACTTGAGTCACCAACCTTTTATCGGACGCGTGTTTTGCAGATGTTTTCTCCTGCTCAGTGGCTTGTCTTTCGTTTTCCTAACGGTGTGTTCTGCAGAGCAGACGTTTTAATTTTAGGAGAGTGCAGCTTAGCCTTGTCGGCTCAGGGGTTGAGCATCGACCTGTGAACCAGGAGTCATGGTTCGATTCCCGGTCAGGGCACAGGCCCAGGTTACAGGCTCCATCCCCAGCAGGGGCCGTGCAGGAGGCAGCCGGTCCATGATTCTCTCTCATCATTGATGTTTCTCTCTCTCCCTCTCCCTTCCTCTCTGAAATCAATAAAAATATATTTAAAAAAAAGAAAGAGTCCAACTTGTTTTTTCTTTCACGGGTTATGCTTTTGGCGTTGCCCACGTGGATTTTTATGCTTCGTCCTGGTGCAGTTTGCTGAGTTAATGCAGGAGAGCTGGGAGGAAGCAGACAGAGTAACGCAGTGATTCCCAAAGTGGGCGCTACCGCCCCCTGGTGGGCGCTGCAGCGATCCAGGGGGGCGGTGATGGCCACAGGTGCATTTGTTTTAACTTTTTTTGTATTACCTTTCTATTCTGAGTTCAATAAATAGTTTCATAATTTCAAACTTCAATGTTTCTAATTTACACCTTTCTTTACTATATTTTACGAAAAAGGTAGAAACATTAATACATATATCTTTCTGTTTAATTGCTATTAAAAGTTAAAAAAATTTAATTTCCAGGGGGCGCTGAGTAATATTTTTTCTGGAAAGGGGGCGGTAGGCCAAATAAGTTTGGGAACCACTGGAGTAACAGGTTCTGTAGGATGCATCAGAGGCGGGGGCTCGGGGAGCCGGTGGGTGGAGGGACCAGCGAGACAGTCAGGTCTGCGGGTCCAGAACCCGGGCAGCTCGGCGGGCCTGAGGGCAATGCCAGTGCATAGCAGTCGTACGGGCACAGGAGGGGGTGGGACAGCCCAGCACAGGGGCGCATCAGGCGGGAGCCCTGCCCACAGCTGCCGCTCCTCACTCAGCCCCTCCCCTGTGACATCAGACCCTCAGGAAGTTGATGGAGACACAGACGGTGGGGGGGATGCTGTGAAAATTCACCCGTGTCTCCTGTCTGTCCGCAGACACGCTTTCCCCAGCTTCGAGCCCCTCGTCGGTGTCTTACCCTGTGGTCCCCGGCAGCGCCGACGAGGCCTCCAGCACAGCACTCAACATCGAATGCAGAATCTGTGGGGACAAAGCCTCGGGCTACCATTACGGGGTTCACGCGTGTGAAGGCTGCAAGGTACGTGGGCCCCCGAGGAGGAAGCAGGCGGCCTGCTCCAGGGACCACATGTGGTTCATTTTATTTTATTTACTTATTTTTAATCCTCACCCGAGGGTATTTTCCCATTGATTTTTAGGGAGAGTGGAAGAGAGAGGGAGAGACAGAGAGAAGCATCGGTGTGAGAGAAACACATTGATTGGTCTCCTCCTGCACATGTCCTGACCAGGGCCTGGGCTGGGGAGGAGCCTGCAACCGAGGTACATGCCCTTGACCGGAATCGAACCTGGGACCCTTCGATCCACAGGTCGACGCTCTATTCCAGTGATGGCGAACCTTTTGAGCTCGGCGTGTCAGCATTTTGAAAAACCCTAACTTAACTCTGGTGCCGTGTCACATGTAGAAAATTTTTGATATTTGCAACCATAGTAAAACAAAGATTTATATTTTTGATATTTACTTTATATATTTTATATATTTAAATGCCATTTAACAAAGAAAAATCAACCAAAAAAGTGAGTTTGCGTGTCACCTCTGACACGCGTGTCATAGGTTCGCCATCACTGCTCTATCCACTGAGCCACACCGGCGAGGGCCCTTTTATTTTACACACAATGTTTGTCATTGCGGAAACAGATGTGCCAAAGGCAGTTGATACGAAACGGAGCTAAGCAACAGGATGTCTCTCCTCAGAGAGCCGGGCAGGCCCCGCGCTGGCCTTGTAAACGCCGCAGGGACGTGTGCTCTAAAGGCACGTACGCCGTTCAGGGGCCCTTCACTGGGTACGAGGCTGGGAGCTTTGGCCCCGTCTCTCGCATCCTCACCAGCACGCCGGGAGGGCAGGGGTCCCATGGCGATCAGAGACGTGCGCATCTTTCTCGCTCCGCGGCCCACAGTGCCTGGCGACAGCCAGCCCGGTGCTGCCCCGC